GCAAGTTTGGTCTTTTCATGGTGTCACTCAATTCCTGCATATTCCATTCTTGTGATTTCTTAAATTTTTCATAATCTTTGCTTTAGTGGTCCAATTCTTCAACTTTATCCTCCAGAGATGATATTCTGTTTTCTATTTCATTCATTCTAGCAGTGAGGCTTTCCCCCGTCCTTTCAAGTTGGCTTATTGAGTTTTGCACTTCCTTCTTCATTTCTGTCTGAGTTTTCTTCAGTGTTTCTCTTTTTTGAATTCATTCAGAAGTTTATCCCTATCTTCTTTTAGCTCTTTGATATTTTTGATCCTGTGTTCTTTAAATTCATTGAATTTCATGATCATGTTTATGAGTGTTCTGTTAAATTCAGTGTCCAGGGTTATCTCTAGGCGATTCTCCTTATAGAACTCTTCTACAGGATTGGTGGAGTTTGGTGGAGACATAGTGTTTTGGCTTTCCATTTTATTATTCTTTCATTGTGATTTTGGCATATGAATTTCTTTTGTTCTTTATGATTCTGATATGAGAATTAAATTGAAGTACACTTCTGTTTGTATTATCTGGGTGCCTATGTCATTTCTTTATTAGTTATGTAGCTGGTTGGTACAGGATTCAAGTTCTCTCAGGTTTAATTTGGAGGGAACTGATGGCTTCAGATCAGCTATTCAGGGGTACCCACAGAAGCCCAATTCAAGTTCCAGTCAGGTACACTCAGGCCTCCATCACCAAGTGGAGGCAGCATATGGGGGCTCTCAGGCAGTCCCCTGCTTTCTCAGGCCTTCTGCCTGAGGGAGGCCAGAGGGAGGCCAGAACTTGGCACCCTCTGGGGGTCTGCTGAATTCATAGCCTCTACACTGATGGAGGCCCAAGCCCAGCTTCTCAGGCTGTCTACCAAGAGCTCAGCCTTAGCCTACCAAAGCCAGATTTGCCCTGGGGCCTTGGGAGGGGCCTCATGAAATCTCCTGTTGGGGGATGGGTATGGCCCAATTAGGGGAAGCTCACCACCATGTGGTGGCAGGATCCTGGGGATCTCAGGCAGTCCCTTGCATTCTGAGCTCCTTTGTCAGCAGGAGGCCAAAACTCTGGCTCTCAGCAGGAGGCACTCTCTAGCTGTTTGCTGAAATCAGAGCCCCTAAAACAATGGAGCTCGATTTCTTTTATTGCATTTTGAGATCATTTCCATGTAGTTCAAGCTGGTCTCAAACTCACTCTGCATTTCAGGATGGCCTTGAATGGTAGATGTTCCTGTCTCTGCTGGCTTTGTAGACTAAGCTGGTCTTGAATTCACATTTCTGCCTCCTGACTTCTGCTATTAAAGACATGCACCATTAGACTCATTTTATTAATCATGATTTTGTTATGTTTGTTTGCTTTCTGAACTTTCCCATCTTACTCAAAGCAAGTTTTATATAATTTTTGATAGGTTGAAAAGTGAGTTTCATTATCATAAAGAAGGGACTCCCTTATCAGGAAGCACAATTTGAAAAGAGTAATATCATGATTTTGACCAGCAGAGCCCTATTTTGAATCTGTTAAGGGAATTCTCTTTTCCTGGTGCCCTCATTTTAGATTCACACACTGTGTATCCAAGACAGTACATAGTAAAGCCATTAGGGAAAGGGAAGAATTTTCTCCAGTTGGTTTCCTGTGTTGCCACTCATGTTTTAACTGATGAGATGAAGTATGTTGCTGGATATATGGTCAGTCTGTTGCAACTGCCTTTGTTTTCTCTCACTGTAGAACCATTTCACTCATGAATATTACTGTATCCCCACAGTGAGACTGGACCATGCCTATTAACAACATGAACTTCAATCCCTTGAAGTTATCTGGTGGACTTAAATTTCAGATAGTGTGAGGATTAGTATGAGGCCTGGAAAGCTCTGGAAAACCCCATCGCACACTTGAACTTCTGCCTATCTTGGAGTAACATCCATCCTTCTACCTCCTGTATAGGATATCAAAAATTTTGGGTTGATTCATTTGACCCAAATTGTACAAAAGCAATACATTTCCAATAACCACAGCATGCATGGTGTGTCATCAAAATTGACCATACTCAGGAGACAGAAATGTCTTTGTTGGAAGTATAGATGCTGATCTAGGAACTGTAGGACAAGCTGAATCCTCTGAAAATGAAGAGAGGCATTCCCTAGAGAAGGACTCACTTTTCAAGTTAGAGCATACAGAGGGCATGGTCATCCAAGAGGAGAAGAGTGCTGGAAACTCCTAAGACAATGTATTACAAGAATAGATTAAAAATATCAGGGGGTTGGAGGGCTGCCACAGTGGTGAAAGGCTCAGGCTCACAATCAAAGAGATAAAAGTGTCTGCACAGAAATGTTCCTAAATTCAGAGCTGGGAAAGAGTCTGTACTGTAATTCACTGAGGATTGTTGATGGTGTTAATACAGATGGGATCTGAAGAAGCTGTTGACCAAAGGTCAGCATTCCTCAGTGGAGAAACTAGGACTAGTAATCCTTGGGCATTTTATGGAAAAACTCAATTTTGGAAAACAGGAGATGGAAATTTCCATTTAAGACACGGTACGTAAAAGTGCATCCACCCTGCTGAAATGTCTTCAAAGTATCCTAGAGTTTGAGCTAGGATTGGAAAAACACTGAATGCACTTGTATTCTGCTGATTTGAACCAGAGAGCGATATTACAAAATGACTCCCATCTGAGTCCATGTCAGTTTCTTTAAAATAAAAAAATTATCTTAGGTCAACTGTATATATGCATGTCTGTGTGTGTCTGTGTGAGGTATTACCATGTGTGAGTTCAGATATCACTGGTGTAATCAGGTGGGTGTTATGGTGCAATAGTGGCACAAATATTAGGGGCATAATCAACCACTCTTCAACTGGATTTAGGTTCTGCTTCTTAGGCAGGAGCCCATTAATATCAAGCTTAGGATCCTACCTAAGGACATAAGGGAGAACCTAATACTAGCTTTCTACTAAATACTTATTTATGAAATTGACATTTAATGACATATTGCTATATTCATAGATTAATGCATCTCACCGGGCTCTCCAGAGAAGTTTTCTTTAGCAAGAGACGTTGATTAACAAAGAAACCACAATGGCTAACATACAGGGAGCAAGAGGCTAAAGTGTACTTATCCCTGAATAGACCCATATCAAATTTCTGCCACTCAAAGCTCAGGGACCATTTGGAGGAAGAGATGGAAAGATTATAAGAGTCATAGGGCGTGGAAGAGCACAAAGAAACAGTCTTCCAGACAGCTGGTCAGCTACACATACGAACTGACAGCAATGGGGACAGCATGGCCAAGTTCTATGGAAGCTCAAACCAGACAGAGTCCCAGCACACTCAGGGAGGAGTGTGCAAGAAATGCCCTCTGGGTGATCTCTGTGTTTTTATGTCATTTAAAACCATTCTGAAAAGGAAACTCATAAAGAATTTAACGTCATGCCCCATTTCTGTGTCATAGGAATTGCTTTTGAGTTTCTGGTTCCTGTCCATGAACTCAGGTTCACATATCCCTCAGAATGATCTCTGGATGAGTTCACAGTTCATAATTTACCAACTTTAGACTGCAGAATCAATTTCTCCTGATCACTAGATTATTTCCAAACAGCTAAAGAGGGGTTATTGATTATTTCTCCTCACTACCATTTTTCCTTTCACCTTTTGCTACAACCTCCAAAGGTGGCCACAGACAGAACTCTGACACCACACAAGAGGAGCACTTTGCCATGTCAGACTATATGTGGTTTGAAGGAATACCTCTTCCTCTCGTGGTGTGTGAAAGTGAAGTGATGCGAGAGATTCATGATAAGTTTGAGGTGAGGAATGAAGATATAGTCATATTGACTTATCCCAAATCAGGTAAGAATTGTCTATGGAAATAGACTGAGGCTTTTATCCTCACTTATTCAGAACATAAATGGGTTGCTTTACACACAGGACAGTGCACACTGCTCTGGGACATCATTTCAACTCAGAGAAATGGATTCCCCATGACCTACGTTCTCAATGGTGATCAGTGAGTATATTAGAGGAACCAGTGAGACCTTGGAAGGCTGAGTCAGCACAGCTCTATTTCTATGAGAAGAGAGAACAGAAGGAGCCGAGAAATGAGAACATCACAGAGAAATAACATCTAAGAGGAAC